GAGAAAAGAACGATAAAGTTTATAGAATTCGCTTTTGCCAGGCACAAACCTTTTTCAAGGGGTCAGAGCGCACCCCGACCAATGTGACGGTAAGCGTCTTGTTTGGTGAAGGTCTGGCCGCAAACAGGAAACAGCGCCACGTGGAATCCACGTGACGTCTTTCCTTTTCTGGGCCTCCTCTCTTCCTCTTCCTCCCAACTTCCTCTCCGTGGTTCTAAGATGGATGGTAAGGGCAGAGACCCTTTTCAGCGAGTCAAACCACCGCTTCAGGCCCGACGGATACGCACAATCGCCATATCGCTGCCTATTCTCGTCCTCACAGGATGTGCGTAAAGAGGCGTCAAGTTTCAGTAACTCGTTCTTTCCCAAATAATGGTCTGACTCCGAGGCACTTTGTCTTTCTTATCTCCGTTCCAGACACCATCCTCAGCCGAATTGGAACTCCGGAGAAATCGCGCCCCCGGGCCATACCGGAGCGAAATCTCAATGAGGTGGGCCACCTACTTTCGTTGTCAAGCCGTCACTATCGATTTCGTTGACTATATCTGTGCCTTATTTAGAGCCAGGAAACAGCTGAAACCGCTGGTGACTCCAGAAAAAACCCGTAGCCGCGCAGAGAAACTATTCCTACTCACACTTATTGGTCTTCTCCACTGGATCTCGGTACAATCATGTAGCTTTCGCGCGCGGTGTATGCTTCGCCTCAACTGTGGAAAATTGAATTTGACCGGCCAGCTCCTGGGTTTCTTCCTGCTCGACGTCAAGTCCAAACGCGGTTGTTTCCTCGCAGCTATTGTGGTTAGTACGCTGTCAGCGAGGGCGAATATCTTTGGCAATTATTCCACACTCCTCCTACAATGCCGGAGAGTGAGCCACAAATTGTCGAAGCCACTCAACTGAGCTTCTTCTGTAAGTACTGACCGAGTACCATTTTGGCCCGCAAGGGCGTAGCACGCTCCGGTTCGTTTACACGAAGGAAACCTGGAGCCTCGGCGATGCTTTAATATAAGTGAGCCGCGAAACTCTGGAAGATTCAGCAGCAGGATACGACTCCGTCCTCGATAATGCCCCCTGTACGCGGGTTTTTCTGAATCAGAACTCGGGCGAGCCAGCGTTTGTTCTCACCAAGCTCTTAACGCAAGATTCAGAGTTGTAATTCACTGAGAAGGCGGCTATTAATTTCGACAATCCTATCTGCCTACGCAAAGTCCGACTGGGTTCAGTGTACAGCACGACGAAATGAAAGGGATCTAGAGAAGGGAGAGATCCCGCTACTTCGACTTTGCAAAACCAACGGCGTTCCGTCCGAGATCGTAAACCGTGTAGTACTTGCGAAGGAAGACATCGCCTGCGAACAAGTGAGAACATCTTCACAAGAGCGCAACGGTAACCAAATACGCACCAACGACCCACAGAGGTCCGCCAGGCAGATTGAGATCCAAGCCGGTGAACGAGGAAATACAAGTTCCTTGCAGGCTGAGGATGTAGTCGGAGCCCTGGAGTGGGTAGGCCTTTCCGCCGATGTAGAAGGAGAACACCGGGAGCGACGGGATTTTGTTGCAGTCCACGACGTACTGCCCGTTCCAAGACTTCTTCGCACCGATCATGCTGTTGATGAGCTCTGCAGTATCGCTGGGCAGGGCGATGAGGGAGGTACCTAAAGGACGATGTGTAAGCGGCGGGAAGGCGAAAACGAGTAATGATTACCGGTATCGATTGCTCCTCCTGTGCCGTCCTCAAACTCAAGCTCCTCATCGCCGAAGGAAATTTTATCAAGCTCGACTTCCCAGTAGCCCCTGCGACGAACAGGAACATATTCCAGTTTGCCGGTGTATGCGTTGGTGTCAATTCCACCAAAGATGGCCTCACCGCCATCCTCCTCCGAAGAACCGAGGCGGAAGGAAAATACGGGCTCGTCGACTAGGCCTTTGTTGATCATGGAGTAGAACGGCGGAGTGATGTGGTTGACGCTTATGGTGTCATATGCGAGCCCTACCAGTTTCGTTCACCCTTCGGGAAGGCGGCGCATAAGAGGGGAAGCTTACCAAGAATGCCATCGAACCTTCCGAAGGCGAAAGCCAAACCAGGCTCATTAGTAGCTTCTGCGAAATCTTGCTTCGGGATTTTGAGGTCACCGATAGCGAGCAAATCATTGGACACATAGCCGTCCAACGAGCCGCTGCCGTATCGAATGGCAAAGGCGCTACCGTTGGCCTTGTACGAGGAAGATGCTGCGGAGTCGTATTTGGCGTGCAAGAAGCAGGCAATAGATGTGCAGCGTGTACTGGGAACCCAGAGATTCGACGAGCTGTGTATCGTGTAAGTAATTGTAGACAGCGGAAAATATGAGTTGGGCCCACCCAGTATCGAGAACAACCTGTGCGATAGGATGGAAGTAAGTATGGGACGTCAAGACGAAGTTCAAGCAGGTAAGGGTGCATCACCTTGAAGGACTGTGGCGGGGTGCCAAGCTGGATGTCGGTAAAGTACTGCGCATTCATGAAGTCTTTGAGGTAGGAAGGTCAGATCGATGAGGTGAATGAACGAATTTGCTTACTGGTAAGAGGCACTTCGTGGCCACCCTTCAGCTGCTCCTGGGTCCAGAAGACCTGGGCGTCACCTTCGTTGGAAGAGAGGTTAACCCGACGGCCTGAGCCACCGGCACCCATCAAGGGAACCTGCGGCTGGGAGGGAGCGCCATACTTCTCCGCGAGGTACGCAGCCTCGACCTCAGGGTTGCTGACGGCGATGGGGACCTTAGTGAGTTTGAGTTTGTGAACGCGGGCAGCAAACACGAGAGGGAGGAGTGAGAGCAACAAGGGATTGAGCAACATCGTAGCGGTGGGGAGGGAACCAAGATAATGCCGCTGTGATAATGCCGCTGTGAGGTGGCATGAGCTACTTATCGCGGGGCTTTGTGCGGGCAGGTTGGTTCGATACTCGGCTCGAACCACCGGATAGACGAGGTGACGCGCGGTTACACGTCTAGCAGTTCATCGCGTACGTTTAAAAGCCGCAACTCACCCGCTAGAACCCGAGGGCGCTAGGGCGAGGGATCGATCAGACAGTTTGTTTCGGCGTGGCTACGAGGGCGGACAAATTTCCCTATTCGACGCAGAGGAAAGGTATTTTGAGACTAGGAGTCTCACAAGTACACCCGCCCGATTGTCCTCGAAGTAACGAACCAATTTCAGGTGCGCACGAATCAAAAGCACGCGTATCTGATTCTGTGAAGCCGATATTAATAATGAGGAAAGGAGAGGAGATGCACGCATACCGACAGTAAACCCCGACATCCGTTCCATCATGTCTGCTCTGCAACCTCCTTATTAGCCCCAGCGCGCGCCTCTTCCTCTGGCAGCGTATCCATCTTGACGAGCGCTGACGGCGTCGCGATTGATCTTCTCTTCTGCACCCACACCACGAGCATCGTAACCAACCAAAAAACAAACACGACCGCCCATCCACCCAAAAGGTATAACAGCGCCGCACCGAGGTTCCCGAGCACAGGTTTCTCCGCCGATACGATTCCGCGCCACCAGAACTGATACCCGACGAGCCATGCGCATGGGACGAGCAGGAGGATGAGGCCCACGGTGGAGATTGTCGGGGGTGGGGATATAGGGGATGAAGCGGTAGCTGCCTCCAACTCCAGGACGATCTCGTCGTCGCGCAGTGTGCCGGCCTCGAGATCTGAGGGCGTCACGGTGGGCGCTGGGGAGGGGGTGGGCGCATTGGTGAGCCGCTTATAGGCTCTGGATGCGAGTGTGTAAGCCGCACGGACAGCGAAGTAAGACGCAGCGGACGCGTAGCCTTGCATCAGCTTATCGCTGACGCAGGCCAGTGCGGCGGTGTATGGGTTGGGGTAGAGTATTAGCAGGGCGGGGGCAAAGGGAATGACTAATAAGAAGAAAAAGAAGATGGCGTTGATGATGATAGCGCGCATAAAGAGGATGATAGCGCGCATAAAGAGGCTGCTGGATCGTGGTGGAGAAGGAAGAGTGTTTGTCATCATAACACAGCCTTTGAACATTGATCCCAACTGATCGGACTTACCGACCGTGCCGTGTACTGATGTCACGCCGACCGAATATGTTGAAATTATTGTATTATTTCAAATCGATAGGGGGGTGACGCGTGACAGGTTCAACCATTTCAACATTTCGGCGGGGGCTCAATTTTTGCGTGACACCTCGAAAATTTCGGCAGTTGAACCGAAAATTGTGTCTCGATGCACACGGGGCATCTGTATCCCTTCGGTCCCCCCGAGGTCCTTGTTCGAATCAAAGTGCTGCTCTTCCACACAGCCTCCACAACTTTTCCTCCCATAAGCCTTGAATCCTTGAGCCCACCACGCCTCAGCAAGCCCAAGCCACGAGAACGGTGTCTTCTCCTTCCTTGTTTATAAATTCCATTCCCATGATGTTCAACCTTGATTTTTGCCCCCTCCATGATTTTTGAACATTCACATCTTACGAAGGAGAAATCAAGTAGGGGAAAGCGGTATGGTGTATCGATGCACACGGGGTATCTGTGATTGATTCCGGTGTTGAACCCTGAGGTCCTTGTTCGAATCCAGGTGCTGCTCTGTATCTTTGGCGGTGAATCCCTTTTTGGCTGGTGTTCTAATTTCAAGTACCTCACCGCCGTTATAACTAGGCAAGGAAAGCAGCATGGTGTATGGAAACAAACGGGTATATATAGTTCATCCCATTCGTGTTGAACCCTGGGGTCCTTGTTCGAATCAAGGTGCTGCTCTCCGTTATCTGCACTTTCATTTTTTGCTGGTATTCTGATTTTGAGCACCCAATTGAGTTTGGAGACAGTCAGAGGAAGCAGTGTGGTGTATTGATGTATCTGTGGGTTGGGATCCTGATATAAACCCCCGAGGTCCTGGTTCGAATCAAGGTGCTGTTTTCGAAAACCTTCGTTTGTACTTCCACTTTTGGCTAGTATTCTAATTTTGGGGCACCCTACGAAGAAGTAAGCAAGTCAAGGAAAGCAGTATGGTGTATTTGATGCACACGGGGTATTTGTAAGAATCAACGGTACTTGAATATAAACCCCCGAAGTCCTTGTTCGAATCAAGGTGCTGCTCTTGTCCCTCAGGTTGTTTGCTTTTTTTTCTTTTTTCTTTTTCTTTTTGGCACAAGTGTTCCAAGTCAAGCACCCCACTCAAGAGGTGGGTGATCTCTGGATCGTTCAATTAGATGATGCGATCAATTGGTGATGGCCGCCACTTTTGCATCCGCTTTCAGGATTCCTCTGAGCATAGAAGACTTGAGTCTCTGAGGATTGTGCTTAAAGAAGTATTGCAATGCATTCCACAACAAAAAATGTGCACTTGAACTCTAGTGGAATAAAAGCTCGCCGCTCTGAAGTGGTGAGAATTGATGAGAATTCCCTTTTCTGGGGGGGGGGGGGGGGGGGGGGGTCGTGGGAATTTATTGGCTGATCCAGAGATCACCCACCTCTTGACCCCACTCAATCCACAAACAGTCAGAAGAAGCAGTATGGTGTATTGATGCACATAGGGTATTTGTACGACTTTTGATTTGCAGTTTGAACCTCGTGGTCCTTGTGCAAATCAAGGTGCTGCTCTGGTTTACCGCCGGATCAACTGGGTTGTTATCTGCCATGTTATCTGCCATACGGGCCACCGACCATTATTTAGCTGATGTTAATTCACAGAAATATTTAAGGAACTTATCTCAGTCAAGGTGAAGGGTAGAGTGTTGAAAGATTGGTAGAAAACATCCTTTTGGCGGCGAAATTCGTTAACGGCAGATAACACGGCAGATAACATGTACTTCCCACGGTTGCCACTCCCTTCAAACGCGACTTTCCGACGCGTCTCACGCGCTGCTCACACGAAATGCGGGTATATTTGAGTGCAGATGGCCATTTGTGAGTGTCCAACAGTGTTCAGGCGCTCCTCTAATTTTCTTGTGCCTTACAGCAACTTTGTTTGATCAAACAATTCCTTGTTCCCAACCATGATTCAACCGGGACCATGCCCGACCATGGGTCCTGCAAATTACAGAGTCAGCTCCTCCTTATGGCACATGGCTAATTCCTTGTTCAACAGGCTCTGATTTTTCCATTTGCACTCAATTTAGTCCAATGGCGGAAGAAGAAGTTGGAAATGTCAGCCCGACCACTGCCGGTGCCTCTCCACAACCTCTTTAGATAAGGATTGTTGTACTATCTTGCCCCTGAGGAGTTTCTATGCTGACTCCAATTCTTTCCTGCCGCTTTCCGGGGCTTCAAATGGCTGTTCGGCGTATACTAGTTTGAAGATTTGTTGAAGATGCGCGAGAAATTTTTGAGATTTGGGGTACTTCATGAACCCTCTCTGGAGCCCTTAGAATCCTCCCTTTCGACGCGATTTTTTCGATTTTTCCTGCCCCTGATACCCAGCCTACTGGGGGGAAAACCGCTGCTCTTCCAATAGTGGCCTCCGCAACTTTTTTTCTCCGAATTCTTGAACCCCGCCACGCCTCAACAAGCAAGCCACGATAATGGTTGTCCTTGTGTAAAAATTCCATTCCCATGATGTTCAACCTTGAAATTATCCTCCTTGATTTGAGCATTCACTGCTATCCTTACCAGGGAGAAATCAAGTAGAGGAAAGCAGCATGGTGTATTGCTGCATACGGGATATCTGTTGGTCCTTTCGATCCCTGCATTGAACCCCGAGGCCCTTGTTCGATTTGAGGTGCTGCTCTTCCACATCTTAGCGTCCGCAACTTTTTTCTCCCCCCGGCCTCGAACTCCCGAACCCCACCATGCGGCCAAGCCATGAGAATCGAGTCTTGTCCCTGTTTTAATGCCCCTGTTTTAACTCCACCATCCCATAATGTTCAATCTTGAAATTCTTTTTGCATCCTCCTTGATGTGAGTATTAGCTGCTCACCTCACCAACAAGAAATCAAGTAGAGAAAAGCAGTATGGTGTATTGCTGCACACGGGGTACCTGTGTTCCTTTCGGTCTCCTGCATTGAACCCCGAGGCCCTTGTTCGACTCAAGGTGCTGCTTTATTCATTCATTCATTCATACATTCATAATTCCATTTGAGTGTGCGCAGGCCCCTTGGGGCCCATGTGGCACTATACGTGGTACATGTAGGTAGGCTAGCTATCGAGTAAGGAGCGGCGGTGATTTGGGATGGGACGCTAAGTGGGCAGGTGACAGAGTAGGTCACTGTAACGGTAGTGGGGTGGGTTTGTATCTATTCGGGATGTTTGTATGCAAGTGAGAGAGAGAGAGAGAGAATTGGTCGCCTCTATGGGCGAGAGGGAGAGTGAGAAAAGAAAAGATTGGAGTGAGAGTAATGTAAAGGTGAGAAACAAAACAAAAAGGAACGGGCTGGGGTTTTTTTTTTTTTTTTTTTTTTCTTTGAATCTTTGTTTTACATCCGGTGTGTCTAAGACATATGGTAGATGTAAAGCTATCTAGTAGTAGTAGCTGACTATAGTAAATCTGTCCGTCATTGAATCTGAGGCTCGAAACTTGGCGACACAACGGGCTGGGTCATCAAAGGGAGTAGCGAGGGAAGCGGGCTGTGTCGCGCGCAAAGCGGAGGACGAATTTGGGGTCGGATTTCGCCGACAGTAACCAGCGGAGGGAAAGGCGTGCCGTGCCGAGGTCGACGATGAGGCTAAGTCACTGGCGGCGGAAGCGGGGGCACGCAAGGAGGTAGTGCGAGACCGTCTCGGGCACTCCGCAGTGGTCGCAGTTGGGGGAGAGGGCGAGGTGGAAGCGGTGGAGGTACGCATTGAGGCCGAGGTGGGCGGTGCGCAGCTGCGTCAAGACGCTGCACTGCGGGTGGGAGAGGTCAGTGTACATCCGCGAAACCGTGTTGCTAGGCTCGGGGTGGTCGAAGAGCGCTACTTGACCGAAGCGTGGGGAGGTGCGCCATTCTCTGAGCCAGCATGCCTTGAACGCCTTCGCACCTGCATCCAGCGCCGCCGCCTTGCTGGTGGGGAGGGGGGTCTCGAAGTGTTTGATGCGCACCGTGAGCAGGGAGGATGCGCCGAGGGCCGCTTCCTTGGCGCGCACATTAACAGCTTTGTTCCCGTCGATCCCGACGTGCGCTGGCACCCAGTGGATTCGAATCCTGAGACTGGGGCGGGAGCGAAGGAGGCGGCGGTGGAGGGAGTGGAAGAGGGCGAGGAGATACTGGCCAGGCTGGGGGCGGGGGAACGAGATGGCAGAAATAGCTGGCTGGCAGTCGGTGAAGCCGTCGACGTCGACGAGCCTCGGCGTCGCTTTGATGATGTCCATGGCCAGTATGGTGCCTACCACCTCTGACTCGAAGACGGTGTGCTCTTCGGTCGTGCCTAGGTGCTTCGTTCTCCACCGCCCTTCCTTCCCCTCCTTCCACGCAACGCCGCCGCTCCGACTCCACCCTCATAGCCCGAGCCGTCGGTGTAGATGCACTCTCCACCCCGCCGTTCGACCTCCTCCTGCTCCTTTCTTGCTTCCTCTTTGTTGGGGGCGATCCGCGCAGAGAGGGACCCGGGCGGAGGCGGCGCGACGACGAGGTATGGATCAATCGTCTCGAACGTCGCGCTGAGGAAGGGGAAGGCGGCGTGGAGGAGGTGGATGGGGGAGTGGTGGAAGGTGCTACTTTAAACGCTGTCATAAACTTCTTTTTTTTTTGTTGCTGACCTGCCACGGTGCTCCGATTCCCATCCTCGCTCGCAGTGATACAAAAATGTACTAACCTTAGTGACTCAGGAGGTCCGAGTTAAGTTTCTGCACAGGTTCGTGTTTTCTGCTTGAAATCAACACATCTGAATCAGATGATCTGATGGCCACGGAAAGCAGTATGGTGGATGGATGCACACAGGGCATCTGTGATCATTTCGATCTCCTGCATTGAACCCCGTCGGCACTGATCGGCCCCTGCCAGAAAATTCAAACTCCGGCCCAGCCCTTTGGCGTGGACCGAGAAGTACCAGCCTGCCTACGGCGACGTGTTTACACTCCCGTGATGGCAGGCTGGTTACCAACCTAGGTGCTTGCTCTCTGTTGTCGGCCCTTTCATTTTTGGCTGGTCTTCTAATTTTGGGGCACGCTAGAAAAAAAAATAAGCAGGTCAAGGAAAGCAGTTACGAGTCTAAAAATGGTAATTTTAGACTCGTTATTTACCCACGGTTTCTCTGCCATCGGGGTCGTTTTTTTTGCGATGACGTTGCCGCTTCGTGCTGGAAAATTTTCCTGTTAAGGGAATTTGATACTAGCTTACTTCATTCCAGCTTACGATGGTTCGACCAATGGCTGCTTTTCAAATTGTACCCGGCGCTAACCGCCCTTGATCGATCCCATCTTTCCTTCTTGCCTCTCAATCTTTCCGACAATTCTATGGTGTGTAGATTGTACAGTACTCCTTCTCTCTTTCTTCCTTTTAATAAGGAATTTGATAGTAGCTTATCCATCCCAGGCTTACGGTGGTTCAGCCAATGGCTGCTTTTCAAATTGTGACCTAGCCGATGATATTTGATCTCTGTATCAATTCAATGAATGCATGTGAAATGACGTGGTCCGACGTAGATTGTCCGCCGTAACTTTAACATCCGCCGTAGATAGCCGTGGATTATCCCCCAAAACTTTGATTCTCATGGTCCAGGTTTAGAAGAACAATGGTACATCTCAAAGTCGACGGAGGAGAAAGAGAGCGCAACGCGACGCCAAGAGATCGATGCGAGATCATGATCTGGCCCGTGCTGATGCAAGATCAAGGAAGTCCGTCGAGCAAACTTTCGCTGTTTCGTAAGTCTTGGTCTGGTCATATCTTCAAGTAATGATGTCTGAGAACAGCAAGACTACTCACAGATTAGGGCGGAAGGATTAAAAGAAGGCGGGAGTACAAAGTTTCCAATCACAATCTTGATGGTGTGATTGCTGAGATTGTGAAAACACAAGGAAACGCCAACCTTGACCTCAGAAAGAAAACCGCATGTCGTTCCCTGACTAGGGCTCTGCTCAGCCTGCAATTGTTAGGCACCTACACCATCATTTCAAAAAGAAATTGACGGACACTTATTAACCTTTGCCGATGAATGCCGTTGCGCAGTGCTTTTACCCATGGAATCCTCTGTTGTTTGACAAGTTCTAATGTTCTCTCTCCAGGGATTGGGAAGAATCAATAGCTGAGTGCAAAAACCTGTCTCCGGCTTGCCGGGAAAATCCTTTCTGGGATCTCGGGGGTGCTGAATTTTCCAACCAACAGGCCGCGGCCGCCGATGGTCGGATCTCCCCGGATCACCGTTCAGTTGACTAAAATGAGCCATCTATCAGCGCGCGCCGCGAAATCGGTGCATCAATCACCTCTGGGCTTTCATCGGGTTTTCAAGTTTTTTCAAGTTGATGAGAAGAGAAAAAGAGGGGAATAGGGATATCTAGGTTCAATAAATATTATCTGGCAACAAATTTCAAAATTGTGTTTGCTAGTGCACGCCCCGGCATGGATTCAATCCTGAAAGGCTGAAGTTCGTGTTTCTGGCCGCGGCCAACTGTTAATCATTCGGATGCACTCGGGTCACGGAGTAAAAATTACATACATGGTGAACGAGCCGCGAACTCAACGATGCAAGATAATCCTGCTGCAACTGCTCAAGGGTCTCGGTGTACATAGCCCCAGAGGTTTAGGCTTGGCGGCATGACTCGGCTTGTCTTGCCGAAGTGTTTGGGGCTCTCGAGCCGGTCAGTGGGCCTTGCCTGTTACAGTGTGTCCTTGAGTGCAGAGAAATCTGGAGAATGATTTTGCGGCTATGGAAGGAAACTTAACAATGGCCCAATCTCAACTTGTCCACCCACGGAGATGATGTCCTCACGAACCTTGAGTGCGAGGAAAATGATGCGAACATCATTATATTGATGCGATTGGGTTGATGCGAACATCATTGGATTGATGCGATTGGATTGATGCGAACATCATTGGATGAATGCGATCGCCGATTGGATTGATGCAAGGATTTCGTCTTGCTGATTTACTTGCCGGTAAAAAGGATTATGACCAATGGACCGTCAAAGGTCCTGTGTGTCTGTAGGCCTCACTTGCTTGAGGTCAGTGAAGTCAAAATTTTTGAGGACTACGCCGGCGACGTGTTGAACTTGTAATTGGATCAGTTTCAAACGCCAAAGCTCGTGAATACTCACACTTGAGGGTCGGTAAAGGCACTAAAATAGCTTATAGCTTACCCCCGCATCATCATCTTGCCTCAATTAGGCTCAAAGTACCGGGAACGGAATTTCTATGTGCTTACATCGATATCAGATCCAAGTCAAGAGTGTCTGTTCTGCGGCTCTTAATTCAAGAACTGCACAACTTAATGCATGTGCACCACCAGGTTCCCATGCTTCTGCCACTCATCTCGTCATCCCGGACGTTCTGTTGAGTTCGTACGGAGTTGGGTGATGTTCCTTACCCTTTATGTTCTGAGGCAGAATGTCTGCCAGTGCTACAACAAATCAGGTATGAGTCCATGGTTTTAGTGTCTGTTTATAAGAGACTAAATCTCTGTCGCCGGTGTCAGTTCAATAATCCTTGAGCGTAAAGCACTTTCTTCTTGCTCTACATAATATAAACCCCAAAGGCCGGAGGCCAGACTCGTACTGCCATGCGCCAGCAATGGCCTCAAAGCCCACGTATGGTGTATCGATGCACACGGGGTCAATATAACAATAATATTAATTTTCACCCCGAAGTCCCTGTTCGAATCAAGGTGCTGCTCTAGCCGAGTTGTTACAACAATTTTTGTGAGCTTCCTAAGCTTCTCTTTTTTCCCGCACCCCACAAAAGTCCAAACAGATCCAGGAAAGCAGTATGGTGTATCCATGCACACGGGGTATCTGTAAGGTCTTCCATCTGTAGGTTGAACCCCGAGGTCCTTGTTCGAATCAGGGTGCTGCTCTTCATGTGTCAGGGATTTTGTTTTTCTGCTCAGCCTTCCAATTTTGAGCACCCCACCTCCCCCAAAACTAGCTACGGAAAGCAGTATGGTGTATTAATGTATGCGCGGTATCTGTATCAACGGTACTTGAATAGAAACCCCCGAGGTCCTTGTTCGAGTCAAGGTGCTGCTTCCCGCCGTTCCGGTCTATTTGTCTGATCTTTCTCCTGCTTCTTTCGTTTCACCTAATTTCAAGCAGCTAATTTTTACTCACCTCGCCACCCTCAGAACTCGCCACGGAAAGTAGCATGGAGTATCGATGCACGCGGGGTATCTGTGATTATTTTAGTCTCCGGCACTGAACCCCGAGGTCCTGGTTCGAATCAAGGTGTTGCTCTTGGCTTTTCATGTGCTTAATTTTTGGCTTTCTTTTGTTGCACAAATATTCCAAGTCAAGTCCCAGTCAGTCATCCCACTGAGTTTGGAAAGAGTTAGACAAAACAGTATGATGTATCCATGCACACGGGGTATCTGTAAGGTCTTCTATCCGTAGGTGGAACCCCGAGGTCCTTGTTCGACTCAAGGTGCTGCTCTGAGCCCAGTTGCAACACCGATTTTGTGAACTTCTCTTTTCTTTCCCCCCGCACCTCATGGCAATCATACCTCGGCAAGAAAAGCAGTGTGGTGTATGGAAGCACATGGGGTATCTGTTATGCCTTCCATTTCTATGCGAGGTCCTTGTTCGAATCAAGATGCTGCTCTCCGCCTTTCACGTTTCCAATTCTTTCCCTTCTTTTTGTTGCACAAGCGGTCCACGTCAAGTATCCCACTAAGTTCGGAAAGAGTTAGAGAAAGCAGTATGGTGTATTGCTGCACACGGGGAATTTGTGATCCATCCGATCTCATACATTGATCCCCGAGGTCCTTGTTCGAATCAAGGTACTGCTCTTTCCGCCGTTCCGGTCTATTTTTCCTGCTTCCTTCGTTTCACCTAATTTCAAACACCTCACCACCTCAAGACTAGGCAAGGAAAGCAGTATGGTGTATTAAACCCTGAGGTCCTTGTTCGAATCAAGGTGCTGCTCTCTGCTATCTGCACTTTGTTTTTGGCTGGTGGTCTAATTTACAGCACCCCACGGCCTTCAAGAGTAGTGCAGGAAAGCAGGATGGTGTATTGCTGCACACGGGGTATTTGTGATCCATCCGATCTCATACATTGATCCCTGAGGTCCTTGTTCAAACCAAGGTAGGCCCCCGGTCACTCACCCCTACGATGCTCCGCCGTAAAGTAAATTAACGGCCCAAAATTGCTGTTTCTCGCTCCCTCCCGTAAGGTAAATCACCCAAGAATCCAAAAGATTCGCTCCGTTGCAAGGTAAATCGCGCGGAGCGAGAGATTTTCTTTTGACAAAGATACCCCACAGGAGCAGAACGAACTGTAATTTTTCCTCTGATAATTTCATTTGTAGAGCTGAAAACGGTTGGAAAGCAGCCAGGGGCTCCGAAACGGCCTGGAAATGCGCCAAATCCGCACCTGGGCGAAAAAATCATTTTCTCGGCTAATTTTGGCGGCCAAACTCGCTCCGCTGTAAGGTAAATCAGCGTCCAGGAGTCCAAAAATCGTAAGGTAAATCAACTAGAACTTTTGGCGGAGCTGATTATGGGTGAGTGACCGGGGGCCTACCAAGGTGCTGCTCTTTCTTCGTTGCCGGTATTTCCCTTTTTAGCTGGTGTTCTAATTCTGGAGCACCCTACGAAGAAGTAAGCAGGTCAGGGAAAGCAGTATAGATGCACACAGGGTCTCTATAGCAAAGAAGATGAGGTGAATCCTGAGGTCCTTGTTTGAATCCAGGTACTGCTCTTCAGGGCAAAAGTGATCAATCTCTTTTTTTGGCCAGTGTTCTTATTCTGAGCACCTCACTCCACTCATAAATACTCAGTGGAAGCAGTATGGTGTATCGATGCACACGGGGTTTCATTGGACCAAAAGCAGGACTTAGCTCCGAGGTCCTTGTTCAATTCAAGGTGCTGCTCTTCGAAGACCTTCGTCTGTACCTCCATTTTTGGCTGGTGTTCTAATTGTTAAGCACCCCCACTGAGTTTGGAGACAGTCAGAGAAAGCAGTATGGTGTATGTAAGCACACGGGGTCAATGTAGCGCAAGTAACAGTAACACTTCACCACGAGGTCCTTGTTCGATTCAAGATGCTGCTCTTTCTTCGTTGCCGGTATTTCAATTTTTGGCTGGTGTTCTAATTCTGGGGCACCCTACGAAGAAGTAAGCAGATCAAGGAAAGCAGTATGGTGTATGGTTACACAGGGTCTCTATAGCAAAGAGGATGAGGTGAATCCTGAGGTCCTTGTTCGAATCCAGGTACTGCTCTTCGCTATCGGCGCTTTCATTTTGCGCTGGTATTCTGATTTTGAGCACCCCACGGCCTTCGAGACAAGTGCAAGACGGCAGTATGGTGTATTGATGCACACGGGGTCACTATAAAGGCATAAGCGAGAACTTTCACCCCGAGGTCCTTGTTCGAATCAAGGTGCTGCTCTTCCACATCTTAGCGTCCACAACTTTTTCTCCCATAAGCCTCGAATCCTTGAAACCCCCACGCCTCAGCAAGCAAGCCACGAGAACGGTGTCTTCGAGCAAGTTGTCCACGTAAAAAAATTCCATCCCATCTGTGGTCTTTTATTACTCCTCCGTGATTTTGAGGCACCTTACAAAGAAGAAATCAAGTCGAGAAAAGCAGTATGGTGTATGGAAGCACACGGGGTATCTGTTGGGGTGGAATCAATTTCTCATGAACACCGAGACCCTTGTTCGATTCAAGGTGCTGCTTTAGCCGGTATTGCAACGTCTTTTTTTTTGTTGACTTGCCACGGTGCCCCCATTCCCATTCTCGCTCGCAGTGATACAAGGATGCACTAATGTCAGTAACTATGGAGTCCCGAGGTGAGTTTCTGCCCAGGTTCGGTATTTTCCGCTCGAAATCAACGCATCTGATCACTATTGATGCAGCTGAGGTAGGTTCTGCAAAAGCATCGCGCAGGACAGCAATGTGATTGATGTACATGGGGTATATGTGATCCATTCAATGCCATATATTACACCTCGAGGGGGTTTGAATCGAGGGGCTGCTCTTTGTTTGCCTGAGATTCCCTTCATCTTGGTGAGTATTCTTTCCTGAGCACCCCAACAACTCCAGATCCATTCAATGAAAGCAGTATGGTGTACTGATGCACACGGGGTATCCATGCAAGTTCCTCCACTTTGTCGGTTGAACTCTGAGGTCCTTGTTCAAATCAAGGTGCTGCTCTTCGCTAGGGCGCTGTTTATTATTCCCCAGCAATAAAAAACCGGTTTATAAACTTGGTTTTATAAACAGGGTATTTATAAACATGTTTATAAACCTACCACCAAAAAGTACTCCCCCCCCCTGCGGGAGGTAATTTTTTGGCTGGGCTCAGCCTAGTTTGACCCCAAACCATTTGTTACCCATTTGTATCACTGTCTGGGGGTGCTAACGCCGTTCAGGAGATGGTTCAACTTAGAATTTTGACCAGATGTTCTTGAATGTGGGGAAAATAATATTAAAACCGTGCTCGGCGGCGGAATTGATAGGATTGATGGGAATTAAAAACCGGCCATCCTGCTCGAGGATTATAAAACCCGGTTTATAAACAGGTGTTTATAAACCTGTTTACAAACCAGACTAATAAACAGCGCCCTACTTCGCTATCGGCACTTTCATTTTTGGCTGGTGTTCTAATTTCCAGCAGCTCACCGCCACTATAACTAGGCAAGAAAAGCAGTATGGTGTATTGATACACGCGGCTATTCATGCAAGTTTCTTCAACTCGACTGAACCCCGAGGTCCTTGTTCAAATCAAGGTACTGCACTTATTTCTTGAAAATGATCTTTCTTTCTCATTTTGCATTCTTTTTTGAGCACCTGACTCCACTCATAACTAACCAAGCCAAGCAGTATGATGTATGGAAATCCACAGGGTATATATAGTTCATCCTCTCGCGTTGAACCCTGAGGTCCTTGTTCAAATCAAGGTGCTGCCCTTCCTCTTCGGTAGGAGTTTTTTTTTCCCCTACTCACCCTTCCAATTTCAAGTACCTCACCGCCATTACAACCAGGGAAGGAAAGCAGTATGGTGTATGCATGCACACGGGATATCTGTAAGGTCTTCTATCCGTAGTTCGAATCCCGAAGTCCTTGTTCGAACCAAGGTGCTGCCCTTCCCCTTCCGTTGGATACCTTTTATTTTTTCTGCTCGGGCTTCCAATTTCCAGTACCCCGCGCCCGTCGAGACTAGTGCAGGAAAGCAGTATGGTGTATGGAAGCACACGGGGTCAATATAGGAAGACGCGGACATGAAGAACTGTCACTCCGAGGTCCTTACTCGAATCAAGGTGCTGCTCTTCATCTGTAGTTGTCAAGCTTTTTCCTTTCCTTGCTTTTTGCTGATTGTTCTGATTTTGAGCACCTCACCACCCTCAGAACTAGCCATGGAAAGCAGCATGGTGTATTGATGCACACGGGGTTTCACTGGACCGAAAAGCAGGACTTAGCCCCGAGGTCCTGGTTCGAACCAAGGTGCTGCTCTGCGTTCGTTTTCAAATCTTTTGTCTTTTCCCTGAGTGTTCTAATTTGTAGTCCACAAAAACGCTGAATCCCTGAGGTCCTTGTTCGAATCAAGGTGCTGCTCTGCGTCAAAAGCTGGAAAGTCTTTTCTTTTTGCTTAGTGTTTTACTTTTGAGCACCCCACACCATTCATAACTAATCAGGGGAGGCAGTAGGGTGTATTGATGCACGCGGGGTATCTGTGCATCACGATCATGGTACTTGGATATAAGCCCCCGAGCTCCTTGTTCGAATCAAGGTGCTGCTCTTCAGGGCAATCAACCTCTTTTTTGGCCAGTGTTCTAATTTCCCGCACCCCACGGCCTATAACCCCCGAGGTCCTTGTTCAAATCCAGGTACTGCTCTGCGGTTGTCAATTTATTTTTTTGGCCAGTGTTCCAATTTCCAGCACCTCACCGCCATTATAACTAGGCAAGGAAAGCAGTATGGTGTATTGCTGCACACGGGGTCAATATGAAAGGACAACGAAGGATCATCACCCCCGAAGTCCTTGTTGAATCAAGGTGCTGCTCTTCGCTATCGGCGCTTTCATTTTTCGCTGGTATTCTGATTTTGAGCACCCCACGGCATTCGAGACAAGTGCAAGAAGGCAGTGTGGTGTATTGATGCACACGGGGTCTCCATAGCAAAGAAGATGAGGTGAACCCCGAGGTCCTTGTTTGAATCAAGCTGTGCTCTGTTGTCGATATACATATATATATTTTTGACTGGTGTTCTACTTTGAGCACCTCACCACCCTCAGAACTAGTCAAGAAAAGCAGTATGGTGTATCGAAGCACACGGAGTCAATATAGGAAGACGCGGGCGACGAAGAACTTTCACCCCGAGGTCCTTGTTCGAATCAAGGTGCTGCTCTGAGTTGGCCGCTTGGTTTTTTCTTCTTCTGTGAGCCTTCTAATTTCGAGCACCTCACCGCCATTACAACTAGGCAAGGAAAGCAGTATGGTGTATTGCTGCACACGGGGTCAATGTTCCGCAAGTAACTATAAAGTTTCACCCCAAGGTCCTTGTTCGAAGCAAGGTGCTGCTCTTCCACAGCTTGTTATTTGTTGACACCTTGGTACCAAACTCTCACTTAATGGTACTAGCTTCCTGATTGCTCTTCACCGAAACTAGACAACCAATGCCAATCCGAATCGGGCGGCTTCTCCTGGCCTTGTCGGTAGTCAACGCATCAGGTCTGATTATTTCCCGTCTGCTATTTGAGTTCGCGCGACGAATACTTTACATATCTCTATCACACCGTTTCGAATAGTAGGTGGCTGTAGCATGCATGAAGTTAGAGCAGCACATGTATGTCGGTACAGCACCTGTATGTTCCTTTTAGGGACCACCGCGGTTAATGCACCTCCTCCTCCTCCTCCACATCTTAGCGTCCACCACTTTTTCTCCCGCTGGCCTCGAAGGCTTGAAACCCACCACGGCTCAGCAAGCAAGCCACGAGAATGGTATCTTGAAGTTGTCCATGTGCAAAAATTACAACCTCATGATGCTACCTAGTCCTGTGGTTACCACGCTATCATAGTAGGCGACCAGGGTTATTATATAAGCTTTCCATTTTGGGAAAGCACGTGAGCAGTCCATTAACGCGTTCTGACCTTTTCTGACACAGCATGGACACAAAACTACGTGTCTATGTAACCTAAATGCTTGTGTTATACAATCCAATGAATCTGAGATAAATCTAGGGAGGACTGGTTTAAAGTACTCAAATTATGACTTTCCTCGCCCTTTTCGGCCGAAAAGAGTGTTTGATGTCCGAACTGCTCACAGGAGGGCCCTGGACACTTTAATCTTCGTGTGGGACACCTGGGAGGGTGTTAAGCGACCCCTGTTACAAAATATCACGCCTCCTTGGCTTTCGACGCGTGAAATACAGAGAAATACTCGCGTTGTTTGGTCGTGCATCGGCCATCAGTTTTGATAACGTTGGACGCCGCTTAGTTGACGCGGTAACTAACAGACTCTATAACGCGAGGTACGAGCGCAATTTTTATAGAGCGTCTGTCTAGAGAGACTAGATGCTACCGTGAAATTCTTACGATTGTTCATTCCCTCCTCCATGATTTTAGCTGCTCACCTTACCAAGGGGAAATCAAGTAGAGGAAAGCAGTATGGTGTATTGCTGCACGCGGGGTATCTGTACGGTCCTCTATGCGTAGGTTGAACCCCGAGGTCCTTGTTACTATGTTACTATGTTAAACCACGCCTATGTGAAGTACATCACTGAGGTACGACTAAGAGCCGTCCACGGCGGGCCATAAGAGCCACTAATTAAAGTAGCGGAGGTGCGGGCGGTTACCAGAAAGTCCGACTAGTATAGTACCACGTGATCATCTGATCCAATCAATCCACAAAAATTCCATCGGGGTCGACGAGGGGACGCGGGGACGCGTCGAGGGCTTCAGTGCGGGCTGAAGCGGGGTCGAGAGGAGGGATGGAGTGTCCGGGAATGGGATGGGCAGCGAAGGCGGCACAAAGAGTGCGGCACAGGCCGGATGCGCGCGCGGCGTCTTGGATGACGCTGATGGCGGCGAGCGAGAGCGAGATGGTGTGGAGGGTGTCAATAAATGTATTTTGGTCGGATATCTCCTTCTGCAACTGTTCGACTCGTCTCGTGAGCGCATGGTGAAGATCTGCCTGCTTCCTGTCAAGGCGATGGCGCGCGCAAGCGGCACGCGATGTGAGCGGCGGCTGCGAGGCGCGGATGGCAAGGAATTTGGCGGCGCGGGGGTTCCATCGCGCGATCGGCGGCATGCCTGCTCGTTGTTGTCGAGGACGAAACGGCGGGAGTGGCGGGAGGGTTTTTTCCGGGGCGAAAGTCATTGTAGCGTGCCGAAACCTCGTCCAAAGCTAAGGACGGTCCTGGGCAGGTGAACTGTCGACGGCGTTCGAGGGCCCGAGGCTCGAGGCAGCCGGAACGAGCACAACGCACCGCGGGTGGTGGTGGTTGTGGTTGTTGTTGTTGTTGTTCGAATCAAGGTACTGCTCTTTGTGTTTCAGGGATTTTACTTTTCTGTCACATTCAAATCTCGAGTACCGCATCACCTTGAAAAATATTCAAGAAAAGCAGTGTGGTGTATTGATGCACACGAGGTATCTGTAAGATCCTCTATCCGTAGCTTGAACCCCGAAGTCCTTGTTCGATTCAAGGTGCTGCTCTGCATTGTGGTTGTCAATTTCTTTTTTTGGCTGGTCTAATTTCCAGCAGCCCACGGCCTTCGAGACTAGCCCAGGCAAGCAGTATGGTGCATCAAAGCACACGGGGTATCTGTGCATCACGATCATGAATATAACCCCCCCCCCCCCCGAGGTCCTTGTTCGATTCAAGGTGCTGCTCTTCCACATCTTGGGGTCCACCACTTTTTCTCCCACTGGCCTCGAAAGCTTGGAACCCACCACGCCTCAGGAATTCCAAGCCACGAGAACGGTGTCTTCAAATGTGTAAAAATTCCATTCCCATGATGTTCAACCTTCTGTTGTCTGTTATTACTCCTCCGTGATTTTGAGCATTCACACATCACCAAGGAGAAATTAAGGGGAGGAAAGCAGTATGGTGTATTGCTGAACGCGGGGTATCTGTAAAATCCCATTGACCCCGAGGCCCTTGTTCGATTCAAGGTGCTGCTTTAGCCGGTATTGCGACGTCTTTTTTTTTTTGTCAACCACGGTACGCATTCCCATCCTCGCTCGCCGTGATACAAGGATGCACTAACGTTAGTAACTAATACGGAGTCTGAGTCGAGTTTCTACCTAGGTTCGATATTTTCCGTTCGAAATCAACGCATCTGATCGCCGTTCAGTAAAGCCGAGGTACAGTGAAATTTCTCGCGCCCGCGGCTATTCTACCTCACGAGTCGATAATATTCCTCCGTGTCCTGCTCGGCCGATTTATTCTAAACTAAGGTCAGAAGACGAAGAAAAATTAACCGTGGGAACGGGAGTGACGCACGTGACGCATGACGCATCGCTTACACCCGCACCAACCCCGCCGCCAAGCCTTCTCACACCAACCACCACCACATCCACCACTCATCCATTCTCTCACCGTACACCGTGCTACACAAAACACACCACTAAAACCATGTTCACCAACTCCCGCCTCCTCCTCCGCCCGCAGTTCCGCGCCGCCCGCCGCCTGCCGACCGCCGCGGCCGCCAGCACACCGCGGTATACTCTAGCTCTCGGCCTGCGGACCCACACGACGGACTCGTACGGCAAGGACGTCGACTCGAGCCCCGCCGCCGACTCCAAGATCCACCGCGTCGATCCCTCGAGCGAGAATGTGCAGAAGCCGCATGAGGTGCGTGCAGCGCTTCTCTCACATAAATACGCGAGGAAAGCTGACGCACGTGTACGGTGTAGCCGCCCTCAGGCCAATGGAGCGCCACGGGCGTCGAGGCGGGCGTGAAGAACGCGCAGGGGAAGAGGAACTCGGACACAGAGGGCGAGCGGAAGACGGGGATGAAGGAGTACGGGACGATGAGCAGCGACAAGCCGTATGGCGCGCCGGGCGCGGGGCAGCGGTATGGGGGGAAGGAGGGGTATGCGAGCGAGAAAGGGGGGAATGCGGGGGAGACGAGCCAGAGTACGGAGGGGCAGGGGCCGGCGGGGAGTGAGAGTGGGGGGAGGAAGCCGGAGGGGCGGTGAGCGACGTCGGGATTCGTTGAAGCGACGATGAATGGGATGAACGGAGGGGAGTGCGCCGAGGTACGTTGTTTATTTGGTGGGTGCGTTGGGGAAGGCTGACTGACGCGGCGTTATGTGCAGGCAGCGAAAAAACGGCGAATCGAAATGAATAATAATTGTACATATCTATTATCCCACTGCGATCTTGCTTCTCTTGTAGTCTGCAATTGACTGTAGTCTGTGGGATGCTATTTCTGCGCTCGAATTCTGGCTGTGCTTGCGTTACCCGGCTCACGTCTTGCCTCGTTCTTCAAAGCTCTACCAGCGCTGACGTTCTTTTCTTCTCCCCTGCCACACTCAGACTTCCTTCCGCCCGACTCTGTCCTCATCCTCATCCCTCGGCTGAACTTCCGCCGGCACGCAACGAGTCCTCGCGTTCCCTCACCTCGCGTCGCCGCGAATAAATCCACCCCCCGCTGACGATCTACGCCCACGGAACTAACCTGTATCCTCCCGAAATAAATAACTCCACCGACGATCACGATCTACACCGGCGGACGCGGAGGCAATTCATCATACACGCATGTCGACCACCGCCAAAGTCCTAAAACTCATCTTCGTCGCTCTACCCGATACACCCGACCCCGTGGAATCAAGCACAAGTAGAAGAAAAGGAATCTCGATTCAATATAGAAAAAAGAAAAAGGAATCGAAAGGAGGTATGGACGGCCCGGGCTCGAGTCGAACGAGCTTGCCTGCAGCATCAACGGACTAATTGTACGCACGAAACGCAGGTGCGCACCACGCGCCTCCGGGCCATACTCGGTTTGAGTCTTTACTGAGACTCTTCGCAGGATCCTGTTAACGGTACTCTGGCTCTTTTTTCAGAGTCGGACAAAAGGTATCGTTATCCGATCAACAAAGGCCCGGGCTCGAGTCGAACGAGCTTACCCGCAATTTATCATTGTTCGCTATCATTGTCCACAAGCGATGTTTCTACGAACCGCAGGTGCGCACCACGCGCCTCCTGGCTTTCGCACCTCTGAATTAGGTTTGGGTTAATGGCATTCCTTCGGCTTGAGCCAAGACGTGGGGAAATAAGTAGAAGAACACCCGGAAATTCTAACGCCATTGTCTCCGAGCCTGGTATGATCTTTGTTGCTGAACTCTCATTCCCAATCCTGATATCCTCGAACAGAAAGAAAAAGCGTGAACGTTTAATGACAAGGCCCGGGCTCGAATCGAACGAGCTTACCCGCAGTATCAACTTCCCAGCGATGCGTTTACACGGAAGGCAGGTGCGCGACATGCGCCGCTGGGCCTTCACATCCCTCTGTAATATTCTCAGTTCGACTGAGATTTCCACAGCATGCAATCTTGAACGCAATTCCCGGCGCTTGCTTCCCTCCTCAGCACAACCCTCCTGGAAACAGAAACAACGGGAGATTCAAACGCGAGCCCTGGTATCTGCTCGCCTGCTCGCCCTTCCTATCCTAATTCCTCGAGCAGAAAAAGTAGAACCATACACCACGTACAATGAACGGCCCGGGCTCGAGTCGAACGAGCTCCCACGATTTTCTTCGTTAACGACAACAAACGCAGGGGCGCAGCACGCGCCTCCGGGCCATACTTGGTTTGACTGAGTCCTCTGATGGATCCTGTTAACGGGACTGTAGCTACTTTTTCTTCAGAGTCGGAAAAAAGGAATCCTTATCTCATGCCGCACGGCCCAAGCTCGAGTCGAACGAGCTTGCCTGCAGCATCAACGGGCTGATTGTACGCACGAAACGCAGGTGCGCACCACACGCCTCCGGGCCATTCCTGGTTCGCCTGAAAGTCGTCGCAGGTGGATTGCATTAGTCCGCTTGGTCAATCTGACTCAAATATCGTCTCGGGATAAGTAGGTGTGTTGCTTTGCGTCTTGATTCTGGATCCAGACTGGCGTCCGGGTATTTTCGTCGTGGGCTGCGGCTGCCGCGCTATAGTTCAAGAAATAGAAGCCCGAAAATTCGATCGAGACCGCCAAGTTCAGCGTGGTTGGTTGCAAGATATTTCTTCAGGGCAAAAAAAATTCGACTTCAGTCTTTTTGCACCACGGCCCGGGCTCGAGTCGAACGAGCTCACTCGCAATATCAAGTTGGCGACGAATATACGAAACGCAGGTGCGCACTACGCGCCGCCGGGCCTTCATATCTCTGAATTATTTTCTAAGTTGACTGAGAATTCCATCCTTGCGTGAGGCGCGTAGAATGTGGTGCTTGGAATTGCTTCCCCCCTCCGCCCAAGACTTGAAGAAACAGAAACAGCCGCAGATTCCCCACCATAAGGCCTGAGTGCTACCTTTGGGTGACAGATTGCTGGCTCTGATATTTCTCGCGGGAAAAAAAGGCAGAATTCGAGCACCTAAGGCCCGGGCTCGAGTCGAACGGGCTTGCCCGCGGTATTCACTCTGTCGTCAAACCACTACAGAACGCAGGTGCGCACCACGCGCCGCCGGGCCTCCGTATCCCTCTGAACTATGTTTAGTGAGAGTGAGAGTTTTAGTGCATGTCCTTGCGAAGGAACACCTTCCCTGCTCGGTCCAGGACCCCGGGATACGAAACACATGGAAATTCGAACCCGATTGTCTCCGAGCCTGGCATGATCTTTATTGCTACAATCTCACTCCCAATCCTGATATCCTCGAGCAAAAACGAACCTTGACAACACACGGCCCGGGCTCGAGTCGAACGGGCTCACCCGCAGCAATTCATTTTACCACTACCCTACGAAACGCAGGTGCGCCCAACGCGCCTCCGGGCCTTAACACCACTAAATTATGGTTAGGTTGATTGAGAGTTCCACCACATGTAATCTTTTTTTTTTTTTTTTTTTGGTGGTACGGTGTCAACCGTAGCACAACTAACAATGGTTCAGCTTGCTACAGTCGCGTAAGTATGGAGGGAATCTCGACCTCCAAGTTATAAAGAAATTTTGTCACCCCCAGGGGAATGCATTTACGCACACGGCGAGATGCCGTAGTGTGGGGCTCGGTCGTGGCCTACTCAGCTATGTCGGTCCCTCCTGCTTGAAGGTGGAGAGAAAGCGTCTGAGCCATTTGCCAGAATACCCACTAAAACCCTGGGTTCCCTTAGCCAATCTTTCGGCAGTTTTTCGCCCTCTAAGAGAGTCTTGTGCCAAGTCCGTAGCACCAAAGCCGGCGGTATCCCCGCGCGGTCCTTCTGGGACGAGTGGGTCGCCAGGTAGCAGTCTGTTTCAAGGCGGTCGTTCATCGTGTAAATCCAGCGGTTCTTTACTTCAGTTGTAGAGGGTTCTGCGCCTGCATTGGATATAACACTTTTATTCCTTAGTTTCCAGATAAGGTAGCACGACTCGGAGATCAGTAGCCGGTATAACCGGTTCAGGCCGGACGGCTTCTTCTTGCTCTCTGCCTCTACCATCGTCAACCCGCAACCTAGGATCCCTCCGAAAGTCGGTTTAGGCAGCGGCGTTCCAGTGCGCATGACCCAAAGGTCGCTGGCCAGGTCCCAGACTAGCGCCTGGCCGGTACGTTTACATTCTACCAGGATGTGTTGGAGGGATTCTTCCTCATCACAGTGCTTGCAGACCGCGTGGTCCTCATATCCCGGGATGTGGGCCCAGTAATGGCCGACACGGATCGAGCGGTGGATTGCCCTCCAAAGGAAGTTGCGGAATTGGCGCGTGAAGTCTTTGTGCCGAACAGATTTCCAGACACTGGATTCTTGGGGGGTGTGGCCATTTGTGACTTTTATGGCATCCTGGACTAACACCATGACTTCCCCAGTGCCTTTCCAAATCGGCGTCTTTTTCCGTGCTCTGATGGATTGGTATGCAAGTTTCTGGGTCATACTGCTCAGTTTGGCACCTCTGACGGCCGGGACGCTATTGTTGTTAGGAGGGGGGGGCATGGCCGTACCATCTGTTATTGCGGTGCGTGCTAACTCCTCAGCGCTGCGGCATAGGGCTGATGCTGTCGCAGT